AAGAGTGAGAGGAAATAGAAGTACATACAGAAGAGGATAAATCCTAGGAAAGTTACATGCACTATCTATGCTAACCTCACTTTGTTTTTAGCTCTAACATATGACACATACATTCATATAGCTTTCATGCAGAGGATTAGTCTGGGAGAGTTAAAAACCCCAAACTGCCCTAAATGTAGGTAGGAAACCCATCCAGTTTTGTAAACTCATTTATCACACATTTGTCATATTCCCATATTCCGAGTTTTCTCCAGCATTCCTTGCATCATTTTTAATATAGTCCAGCCCCAACACAAACTCTTTACCTCGTTATTAAGCCTGCTGATCTGTTGTCTGGTCTCTTCTGCTTTGATAACAAGCACAGCAGCACCAATTTCAGCCTCTGAAAATAATTCAAATATATGTAAATTAGATTAGTATAACAGCTTGGAAACAGCAATGCTATTCTTGCACTTATCCAGTGCTTTAAATTTAAACATAGTTTGTACTTGGATTGAATGAAAATAAAATCTTGTGTTTGGTGTTCAGTGTATCATGAGTAAGAAAAGTGTGACAAAGTTTGTACTGCTCTCTGAACCTGAAAGGACTGAAAATGATAACCTTGGTGCCAACTATGTGACAAGTCAACCATTTTTAAAAATCATGATTGAACTTAATTTTTATTTTTCTGGTTGGCTTGTAACAGCCTCCATGTAAAAGGTATACACATAACTATGTGAGGATTGTTTACTTGTAAAAGAAGAGATGTTGGAAAGAGTCAAAGCTGCACTAATTGCCACTTCAGCATTAGTCCACTGGTCTCCCCTCTGTCTGTTGAATTGTCCTCTGTTCTTGTGTTGAGTACCTTCCATGCCCAAAGGTTTGGGAGCATGAGGCTCCTGGCTGATCCTACATTACTGGTGATAAAATATAATGCATGAAAACACAGTACTCTCTGCAAGCCATTTTATCATGACTATCTGTTAGCCAGAAGACAACAAACGGCCTCCAGAACCCCATTGCATTCTTCTACAGGACTACCTGTGGTAAGGAAATGGTGCTGAAAGTATGGATATAATTAAATTCATTTATGCCACTTCTGAAAATCAAAGAAACAAAGGGGAACAAAAAATAGTTATGAAAATTGTTTTCCCTAAAGAGTAATTTTCCCAGGCAAAACTTGCCTCCAATTGTAGGAGATAACCTCGATTCCTGCCTGAGCTGATCAGAGCTGAAGTCAAAGGTTTGGCTTTCCTCATTATGGTTTCCATCTTCAATCCCATCAACAATTCTGTTGAGAAAAAACGGAGTGATGGACCAATTTCATAAACATCACATTCATAATTGTGCCATCAAAATTACTCCTAAAGGGCACATTTTTAAGCAGTAGTAAATTTAACACAACATTAAATTTCGAGAAAAGTAAAAACTATTATATTGGTATAACTTCTTGTGAGTCAATAAAGATTAAACTTACTGTTAAGAGGAAGGACTGTGAGGCCAAACATAATTAACTCAAGTTTCAAAATTTTCATGAATTCTGCAGTATATTCCAGGTCCTAACAAAATCTGTATTGAATATAGTCTGCTTTTGATATCTAAAGTAATCTGTTGCTATTCTTTTTTCTGCACAAACTAAAGATGCTTCACTATCCTCTTGTTAAGTTTAAATCTCCCTGCACATAACAGTCAGGCTCTTATATCTGGCTTACTTAGGCAGAGCCTAAGCCTGAACATAATATATTTATGAAAACATCTTTGCAAACCATAGTCAAAATTGTGGTTGGCATGCAAATAGCTATTCAAATTCAGGGTATGGGAAGATGTGTAGACGAGCCTGCAATGTGCCAGTTATGTTAGTATTGTATTAGCAACAACTTACATCAGTATTAGATCTAACTACTAGAAGAGACATTTTTGTCAGTTATTTGTACTCATGCATTGCAGTTTACCTTCAATTTGCAGTGTCAAGAAATAAAAAAGCGCAATTTATACAATAATCCCATGCTGTATAAAAGATTAGAAAACTGGTATCAGGTGGAGGAATCAATACACATTATTAAGAATATATAATTATGAATATTTTTTCTCATTTATAATAAATTGTGCTATAAAGACATCTGTTTTAAAGTCAGTGAAAGAGACTTAGAAAACTGCCAATTGGCAGACATGAAGCATCAATTTGCTGTTTTGTCCAGGCACAAGGTTCGGAATTTCTTACAGTAGGCAGCTTGAGCTTCTCTGGCCTATCCCGATATCTGCAGCTGAAAACCCGAATGATTATTTTGTTTGAAATTTGCTATAATACCTGTTTAATGTCATCTGGCCTCACTGCTTCAAAAGTAAATTTTAAACACCTATATCCCATTTGTAGAGTTTTCTAATTACATAAAATGCTAACATTTTAACTGTCTTTAAAGCACACAGGGGAAAACCTACTCAGACGTGACTTGGAATTTTATAAATGCTTATAGTCTTTAAAGTGTTTAAAGATTCAGACTAAAAAGAAACCCTACTAGCAAAACTAGCTAGTTCTGGAGAGCCAAAAGACAGGCTTCTACGTGGGAAATATGTAACGGGCAAGATGCTTATTTATATACAAGGAACTGACTGTGGAACAACATAATCAAGTGAGGTCTCACCCCTTTCTGAATTAGTTATTGTACAGCCCTGAATTTTCTCCTGAAGACAGACACTTCCACTTCTAGAAGCCAAAAAGTCAGAAAAGATTAACATGTTACCTCTTCTATAAAGTTGGTCAGGGCTAGACTGCACTCATCCATGTGGGCCTGAAGAGATTTAAATTCATAAATGTCTCCTGCCAGTACTACCTTTATCATCACAATTTCTTCCTTTTGATGCTCTTCTACTTTGTAAGCAGTACCCAAAAAGTCATTGGGAAGACTATAACTCTGTACTAAAAGTTATGATGCTGGCTTCTATTCCTTGCACCAAGAACAACTTAAATATTTTACTCAGGCTTTCTGCTTTACTGCCTTTACTGTGGTGTACAAAAGAAGAACCTGAAGCACCAGTGAAGAGTTCTGGTTGTCTTATGCTGGGTAACATCCACAGTAGAACAAGTTCTTAAGCAGACAAAGTATATTTTCTTGAAAGAGTGAAGTTATTTACCTGACAACTGCACTGACTGGACATTTCAACCAGAATTTTGCCTTCCCTTGATGCTGCTGTCCAACAGCATAAAACCCGAGGATCTTAATTAAGGTCTTATTTTCTCTTTAACACTTACAAAGAAAAATTTAAGACTCTTTTTAAAGTGGTTTTAACTTCTCAGTTTAAATGTTCTAATAATATAAACTCATTTAGGGAAATAACATCAAAGTGTTCTGGCTGGAAAATAAAGTCTGAAAACCACGTATGTTTTGGGCCAATTTTCCTGCCTATTAACAGGATTATTCTGCAGTTATAAAATTATGAATGGAAATAGGAAATAATAATATATTTAACAATACTTGTTTAACATTGTGCCAATGTCTGGCTGCGTATATTCAGGACAATAATGAACAAGATTACATGTCGTCAGAAAATATGAGGGGTACCTTTTCCCTGAATTACCACTTGTTATGCAAATAATAACGACCTTTGCTCATAGCTGACCTGAACCAAATTCATATGAGATCTAGGAAAGAAATGAGAAAATATCCACTATGCATTTCAATTTTGCTAGTGTATAGGCTGTTTTTTCACACATTATTTTCCCCTGTATTGACAAAACCTAGTTTGTATCCTGCTCCTATTTGAAAAGCAACTCTACTGATCGAATATATGATAAGGACGAAAGATCTGCATACAGTTATCCATATTCTTTCTATGATTATATCCTTAGGGACAGGTGCCTTGACAGACCTAAACAAATATCAGTCAAGCTGTGGCTGTTGCATCTAGTGAATAAAGGAAGTTCTGGAACGCATAAAATACTTCAAATTATAGAAACTAAAATTGAACTGGAAGATCAACTGCTGCACCTCCTTGCATGTGAAAAAGTGATTATGATTTTCATAAAGAACTGATCCCAAAACTCTTGGTTAATAGTTAATTATTACCTTGCAGCAATTTAGAAATAAGATACGTAAATTATCTTACAAGTAACATACAAGTAAGGAGTTAAAATATTTAAAATTATCACTAATAATATGATAATATTCTTGTTTATGTTAAAAGCCACAGCAAAACTGACTTTCTCAACTCCATATTTATCACAGAAGCATAGAATGGTTTGGGCTGGAAGGAACCTTAAAGACCATCTAGTTCCAACCCCCCTGCCATGGGCAGGGAAACCTTCCACTAGACCAGGTTGCTCAAAGCCTCATCCAGCCTGGCCTTGAACACTTCCAGGGATGGGGCATCCACAACTTCTCTGGGCAACCTGTTCCAGTGCCTCACCACCCTCTCTGGGAACAATTTTTTCCTGACATCTAATCTAAGTCTACCCATTTTCAATTTAAACCCGTTACCCCTTGTCCTGTCACTACCTGCCCTTTTAAAAAGTTCCTTTCCAGCTTTCTTGTAAGCCCCTAGGTACTCTCTAGATACTTGCATTATCAGGGTTTTTTTTTCCCCTAAAATATAAATCACCTAAATATTTTCTAATGTTGTTAGGCAATATTTTTTCATTGTAGAGCTCTACTCCAATAATTTCTGTATTTGCACAGCTATGCTGTAGTATCATCTGTTTGCTTTCTATATTGCTCTCTGATGGATTCAGAATGTTTCACAGTGCTAATGTGGGAATGCATATTATTATAGATGGACAAAATGATACCATAAAGCCAGACCATTCAAATAGTCAGTTTTGTAATTGCTCAATACTTTCTCTTTTACTGGTAGAAATACTTTATATTGCAATAAAGTCCTAAAGTCATAACATTCTGCATAGTGTGCAATAGCGCCTACAGTAAGAGGACTTCTCTGTGGGATGAAGAAAAGCATCAACTATTAAAGCAAAAATGTTATGTAGCATTCACTCATGATATTTTTGATAGGAGTTATATGATAGAGAAGAAAATTACTCTTCATAACTATTACCTTGGGCTCAGGTCAGGTGGACAACTGGTGGTCAGTGCTGAAAGGTGTAACTTAAGGTTTTTCTCCTTCCTTCTGCAGTAGTAATGGAGCTCCGTTTCATGTTTTGTTCTTGAGGGGTTTGAACTGCAAGCACGGATGGGGGAATGAAAGGGCACCGTTCCTGAGGCCAACTGCTTCAAATTTCTCCCTAGGTGGCTTTTATTGCTTCCAGCCTTCTTCTGCTGAGAGCAATTTGTGCTTCTTGTGTGGATTGGTGAAAGGGTACTGTTCTCTTCTTCTCCCTCCTCATCCTCGTCCTCATCTTCCACAATTGAAGGGAGTCTCTTCTTTATATTTCCATTTCCCTTGAGCTCTGTCTAAAATAGAAGGTAATACATACTAGCATAAAATTCAAAGCCCGATATTGCAGAAATACAATTTCTTCTGGTATTCACCCTGGAAGAAACCCAGATCTAGCACATCTTTCATTTCTCATTAGAGATAGCATATGTGAGAAAAAAATACAAGCAAATAAAAAAACGTTACTAGCAACTTAGCCAGTGAAGTCACTGCAATATATTTTGTTACTAAGATTACATGACTAGGTCTTACAAGCCATGTGCCGTATGTACACTTGAGTAGATTAATCTTGTTTTACTGAGGCATTATTTCTTTTGAATGTTACACTCTCAGACTCCTGGTGGACCAAGGGAAAGAACTGTGGCTGGTAATTCATATAATTCCACATATGAAACCATTTATAATGTATAAATAACATTTACACCAGTTCAGCTCAAGGCCAAATTTTCTCTGCATCCTTTTTAGTTGTTGTAACTGAAACCGCTGCGGGGATATTAGGCAGACTTTTCAGTTTATACAAAGTCCCATTAATGCACCAATGGTGTGACAGTGTCAGCTTCAGAACTGGGTTGTGAAAAAGCAAAGCTACTTCTGTTTTTAAAAAAATGCAATTTGAATGCTTGATGTTGGAACCAAGCCAATTTAGAGGCAATTTAGGTCTGGGGTCTGTACTTTGGTAATTAAAGCACATTGTAAGAAAGTAATACATTATTTGTTATCGTTTCATGGTAACAAAATACACTGGTCATGAGTGCTGAGATGTGCTAACGTGGAGCTCATTTCAGCAGGAGATCATAACTCAAAAATACTTCCATCTATTCCCATTGTATTTATTGATATTTATTGGTAGTAGGTAAATGGACTAAGGCAGAATCAGGTTCCAGGTCAAATTAACAAACTCCACACATCTCAGTGAAGAGGACAGCCAAATGCAACTTCATGGTTTCAGACAATGTTGCTATACCTATGCATTTTTTTTAGCAGACTACTCCTCTTAATCAAGCTTGATTGAGGTACTGCTAACTTCAGAGGGAAAACCTCAGATGAGTTTGTATAGTGAAATTTCCTACGTTCAGGCCAAGTAAGATTGACTGGGTGAAAATGCAGACTTGAGGAATTTATCCAAATACTCTAAGGCCCTATTAAAATCTGTCTAAATATTTTGCAGAATGGGTCTAATCTAGTAGTTTTTTACAGCACACTTCCACTTAATGAATGCTCTTCTCTTAGTATACATTGACAGATTTAATGAACTAGGTCCTTTCCATCTGAGATGTATGAAAAGGTAAGAATTTAAAACAGGTAAAAAACCTGTCTATATAAACAGTCTTGTCAATCGTAACAGTTATCTGAAGGCTGTCATCATGATCAAATTGTACAAGACCTGGCATCAACTCAGCCTATAATGTACGGAGAATCCGCATTAACCGCATTGAAAACTTTGGCTCAGGTAACCATGTATTTAAAATGCAGGTGCTATAGTAGGATATCCAAATGCAGCACCTGGAAGAAAAGATCATAAGCTGTTACTCATAAAATGGACAGTGACAGAATAGAGGGTGCTATTTGAAGTCTCGTTCTGAAACCATGAACATCAGCTGGAGTTCCACTAGCTTTGCTCTGGCCATAACTGTGTGCATGTTTCAAAGTCAAACTTGCCATATTTAAAATGTGGCTAACATACCTGAGATAGCGTAGACTTGTTTGATAATTTTGATATTACCTGAAAAAAACAAAACAAAAAAGAAAAAGTAGCAAATATGTGCATCTGCACAGTATTGGCTTCCAAAACCACACATCATCTGAACCAAAGCATTCACGTTGGTACATGAAACGAATCTCATGAAAAAACAGCTGTATTATATTAAATGGTGACATAGCACTGAACTAAGGACATTCCTTGGAAGCAGATGTTGTGAGGAAAAGTTTTATTTTAATTAAAAAGATAGTTCCTGCAAAAATAACAGTTTACTTACCCAAAATGTTGGGTCAAGGCTTTAAACATGGGTGAATGTATGCCTGGTGGGTTTCAGTGCTCATTTGGTGGATTCTCATGCAGGAATAGTGCTCTGCTTTGGACCTACCTCTTTGTACCTTAAGGTCCTGTGGCCCCAGCCTAGTCCTTTTATGTGGGTGATCTAACTAATTGCAGTGTCTGTGGGCAATTTTCAAAGGCAGTGATGGGACTGAAGCAAGTAGGAACAATATAACCCTGAGGGAGGTACATGCCTAGAAGCTATTCAAGGTCATGACATTTTCCCTTCTTGGATTAAACAGAAAGCAAAACAAAAGAAAATGAAGAAGAAAAATCATGCAAATCTAGTAACTACTTCTAATAAGATCTACTGGAACTGCTGAATATTACCTGCTATGAACATTCTGTTGTTTATTTGAATGTTCACACCCTGATCACGGGCAAGCCTCTGACAGTCTACGTGCTGTATTTAAAGGAAAACTTTAGTCTGCCTGGTAGAATTATCAGAAGTGATTTTCAGCTTTCCTAAACCCACATGTCATGATAAAAAGTGCTTAACAGCCATCAAATTTAGCTTCAGTTTGTTTTTCTCCAAACTCAGGTAGAAGAGGTTCAGCCATTCTGGGATTTATTGAGACTTCCCAGTTTGTTTGATATAAGTCTTCAGAACTCCTAAATACAAAAATTATAGGCACAGATTTGGAAAAAATAATTGTGGGATGTTTTGTATTTTTTTTTTTCCCCTTCTTCACAAGTCTTTCGGGTTAACCTGAAAACTGTTTTGTAGTTGGTCATAAAAGTGAGGGTAGTAGCAGTGATATAATGTACATATACACCATATTTAGATTTCTGTAAGCAGAAATCCTACTCCATAACAGCCAAGCCAGTAAGTAGCAGGTGTATCAATAAATTTAGTAATAACACTCTAATAACTGCCAAACAGAACAACCACAATAATTAGGCTATGTAAATAAAATCACTGCTCTGTTCTTCCTGAATTTGATAAAGTACTAGATAATGTTAGCAGAGAATGAGATCTCAGACACTGAAATCTCTGAGCTTGCACTGCAGTCTATGTCAGTTGAAGAAATTTCATCTCCTTCAAGATTCAGGAGAACTAGAAATACACTAAAATATTAAATTTAGGATTAGGAAGCATTAATCGCACATTTTGCACATCTATTTAAGAAGATTAATTTACAGTAGTGCCTCAAAGTTAGGGATATCCGTTTGCTTGAATTCTAGGCACAGGTGCAGCACAAATGTTAAATAGCAACCTTAATTAGAATACCACACCAATCCCAAACATTAACAACAGTTTCACAGAAGAACTCAGAAAGTATGAATTTACCTGATAAAGGCTTTATGTGTGATTCGTAATATGTAGTTAGCAATGCAGGTGAAGTTTTCTCCTCACATTATTTTTTTCCCTGAAAACATGTGTTAATCCTGATTGTACATTCTGATAACAAAGAAATCATTATATGGGTGCCTCCTCGATGTCCTGGTGGCGTTTCTCACAGCACTGCTGGCATCTTTTACCTGGGCTGGGCTTTCAGCTCCATGCCCAGGTGATAGCACTGTCCTCTGGGTGCAGGACCTCTCTGCTGCCCATCAGCACAACAGGCACAGCCACTCATTGGTCCTCCTGGTCTCAGCGGTACCCTTGCTGGTCACTGAGGCAGGGAGAAACTGGCTGCAGGGGAAATGGGGGTAATGGCAGCACGTTGGTGCCCTTTGACCTTACCAACAGAAAGGTAAAGGGATCTTGAAGAGAGGTTGTTTTTTACAGGGTGGGGAAGGAGTATCCTTGGGAGGGAGGGTAGCAGAAAAGAAGGACAGATATGAACAGGGAGCAGGTGATGTGCAAAACTACTCATCAGAATTTCTTCTTTCATTTCCCCAAACTGACCCTTTTAACCCACTGGGAACAGCTTCAGTCTGGATAAATTGATACTTTTAGAAAAACTCTAGACCTATAAACTTTTTTACATAGCACAGAAACCACAGTAGAGTGTTGTAATTGCTTCTGTATTAATACACTGCAGCCATGTTTATTGTTTGTAACTTTGAACACCGTATCTTGGACACATAAATAAAACATGGGCCTGGACTTTATGGCTTGGTGGTTGAAAGCTGGTAAAAGAAACTATAATTAATGTGTGACCAGAGAGAATTCTCAAGAGTTTGGCTTTTAAACCTCCTCCAGCTTCTCACTTCTCTCTCTCTCTCCCTCCAAAAACACCATTTTAAAAGAGAAAAAGATAAACATAAGAACAAGAGCAAAGCCAGTTAAAGGGCAGAAGATTTAAAGACCTCACCATGCTTCCTCTCTGTAAAAATGTAGTGTCAGAGTAAATAATTATGAGGTGCTGTCCTATTTCTAGTCTGTAACACCTTTTATTTAGGGCAACACATTGGTGTAGCCTTCTACAAAATGCATTTTATACATTTTGCGTTTCTTATGCAAAAAGAAAGAAAATCCAAAATAGCTCACATTCTAGCCTTTTAAATGAAGTACAACTCTTAAAGGGTAAAGGCTGCTGAAAGAAGAACACTGATATTTACCCTGCTATGCATTAGAAAAAAACCCAAAAGACTGATATTAGCATGAATCATGTGAAACACTGTCAAAGGGTCCAATTTAAACTCTAATTTGCCCAGGTGTCTCTTTATGTCTTGTGAAACCAACTATTAAATTTAATTTTACAAGATAAAACAATAATAAATCATGTACCAAAAGGAGACTCACAAAATTCTTCTATGTATATAACCTCAAAACTATAATCTTGCAATTATTTAGGATGTTAACATATAGAGCTTAAAAATTCAATAATCTTTATCATTGCTTATAATAAGCACAAAAAGAGTATTTCCCCATCTGAAAATACTGGTGGTTTGCTGTTGAAAGCCGGTGACAGGGTCAAGAGACTGTAGTCTTTAATAGAAGGATCGCTACCAAGAACTGTGGCAAAACCAGGTAATTAGCTGTACAATAATTCAAAGTGAATTCCTATTACAAGACACTAAAAAGAGAAATATAGAGATGCAGTTAATTTAGGGGCTAACGCATTCAATGTCTAAGTAAGTAAACTTGCATTTTTTAGCTGAACAAAATGCTATCAGCTTTTACTGGCCTCGTTCCTGTTGCCTTCGCGCAGGTAGAAACAAAAATAGAAACATAATTTTGCTGATTTGCTTGTAAGTCTTGGGTCCTAAAATATATGAATAATTCTCTGTATCTGCAGAGTCAGAAGGATAAAATACACTTTCAGGAAAGGATTTGAAATCAAACTAGAATATTAATGTTCAGTGTTTGGAAACAGGAAAAACCCATTTAGAAGCATTGGCAGTATGTGTGTGGGGGAAAAGAACATATGTGATATGTTCTAGTCTTTGCAAATTTACTGTATGGCAATGGAAATGATACAAGTACATAACGAGGGATTATTGTACAGCTGAAAAGCTTAATGCCTCACATGTGTTCAGGCCTCAGTTTTCCATAATCAGGAAATTTGTCAATGAAATATCACAAATCCTTTAAATGACAAAGGAGTCAATCACTTGCAAAGGGTTTCTCAGGTTAGATACAATTGTTTTCCCATCTACATTTATTGAGAAATTGCCCACTTTCTTTTTTTCTTTTTAAGACTTTCTACAGTTCATTGGCTTGTTTTCTCAGGTTTATTCTTGACTCTTCCTTCCTTAATGAAGAGATGAAAAAAACGTATTTTGTGCAAGCAGATGTGTGTATATTGCATTAACAGCAACATCTGAACAGCAGTTCTGTCACAAGTATTTTATGCTAGGTGACAAATAACTGAATTGACATGACCTCTGCAGTATTCTGTTAAGTCATTATCATACATAATTCCTCTTTTGAATAAATTATAGACTGTGAAGTTTGGACAAATGTTCAATAACTGGCTAGTTGTGGTTAGCTTTGAATAAGCTTTTTGTAAATAAATTCTTTCTTGGATTTGAATTTCTCACGAGCTTTTATATTTAGTATTAAAAGTTTACTTTTCATATATTTCTTTAAAATATGGATGTTAATGAATATTTTACTTTTTGGGTGGCAATTTGATCAGCACATTAACCTCTCGCCAGTTCTTCCAGAATTAAAAAAGTGCAAATTGAGCACACATCTGGCCCCTGGACATATTCAGAGTTAAAACTTTGGGGAAAACAACAGAACCGTGAAAGTGATCCGCATGATTTCACCTCAGGGCAAGAAGCCATGTCTTGGCATGTGAAGATGTCAGCCAAAGTCTAAGTATGTAAACTTTTTAATAAGAGAGCCATCATCATTTCCTTCCCCTGAGATGTAATTTGTGTTTTCTATATATGTATAATCAAGAAAAGCCCAGCACATAGCTTTTTGAAATTCTTGGCAGCTTTGTTATTCAAGTTCTTCATAAATTAGAAACTAAGACAAAATGGACACTCATAACTGAATAAAATTGCTTCAGTTTTCAAAAGACAATGATATAAAACCAAACTCAGTGTCAGAGAAATCTTATATCAATTTTGCTGAAGGAATGATCATAGTGTGATTATCCATGGAGCCTGTCTCTGAATACTTATATATATATGTGTAGTAATGTGCTGTATATATTTTTATACTGTATGTATATATTTGTTAATACAATAATTATTTATCACAGCATTGAGAAAGTGATCTATATACAGTTGGAACTGTATTTTCAGCAGAACTCTAGTTACACTTATGTATGTAGTTTCACTAG